TGACAGCGGCAGGGATGAAAGACCTGCGGAACCTCTCCTTCTTACACTGAGTACATCCACGGTACAACCTCACCGAGCCGTTAGCCATTACCTAGAGATTTGAGTATTTTTGAAAATGGATGTCTTCCAAAAATGATGGAAGATGGTGTTTTGGAAATCATAAGTTTACTTACGACGGTGTGAGCAGCAGCATTCGGACACCTATGAATTTCTTTTTTTGTGCTGTATTTCCTAAAGACAAATGAATGAACAAATTAATTATTTGAATTAAAGATTGTGATAGTAACTCACAAACACTGTGACTATACCTTAATACCAACATTAGATCCTGCTCACCATTGACTTGTCTGCTGTAGGATTCAGCGAGGAACTGGCGTATTCTGTCTGCAGGGATGGCAAAGGAGATCCCTGCTGTCACTTTCAGAGTATTTATGCCTATTACGTCTCCATCCTTTTAAACACAGAATGGAAGGAGAGCCATGAGATTGCGGTCTTAAGTGCTTCATTGATTACATAGCTTTGCTACTTGAAGAAACAAAACAGCAGCAAAATTATTATGCCTCTTTTTCTTCCAATGCACAAAACATAGCTCATAGTCTATTAAGTGTTCTTTTAAATACAACAAAAACCATCAGTCTTAGTTACTGTAGTCACTTATCTGTGTTTTCACAGTGAAGGACGATTTATAAAGTGCATTGTCGGTATGGAAACTGTTCTTCTTAAGAAAGAACAGCAATTTTAGGGAAAGGAAGCTGGCGGCAGCAACCTTGATAAATGAATGTACCGTCTGTATGATTTTATTCCACAGTAACAATGCAAAGGCCTCTATAATCAGGGCTTGTCCTTAAATACTGTGAGGGAGGCTTAATCTTGAACCTGAGGGAGCAGACTGGAGACTTTGGGTATTAAATAAAACAAAATCATAACCTTAGTCCTCACTGTCATAAATAAAACAAGAAAGATCGCCTACATAGCAGAAAGCAGAACAAATATGCAAATTGCGTGGTATTATCCCTTTTCATACAATACAGCACTATAAATCCTCTTACCAAGTTGACAAGCGGTCCACCAGAGTTGCCGTACTGTAAATCAACAGAGCAACAAAAACATATTCTTACTCATTGTTAAAGTAAAAAAGAATTTGTCAAGAAATGAAGCAAGAAGCAAGAAAGGAAATGATTGTGTTTGTAAAGCTAATCGTGCTCCCGCTGACATTAATGATGGCGTCGGTTTGGATGTAGTCCATATCTGAGTCCTTAAAGCCCAACTCCAGGCCATTGCGCTGGGCAGTGCTGATAATGCCGGTGGTGACGGTGTTCTGTAGGGAGAAGGGGCTTCCCACCGCCACCACAAACTCACCAGGGCGCAGGTCTGAGGACTGGCCGAGACGAAGCACAGCCAGGGGACTCTGCAGCAAGGCACAAAGAGACATGACGACCCACAGAGAAGGATAGCAATCAATTTTATGAATTGAACAGGAACACGAACAGGGTCATTATTCCACCATTAGCTGACCTGGGCAGTGTAAGATTATTTAAAGTCAGCAGGCTAACTAGCCCTGCTAGATACACTAACTATGGTTTAGTATGAACTGAATACAAGATCAATGAGGATGAACACAGCTGACCTACTACTAAGAAAGGCTTGTATGACACAAACAACTGTCTTTTTTCAATTCTGATCTATTTACAGTTCCTACAAAATTCGAACTTGCTGGCTTTAGATTCTTCAAGATCACTGGGTTCTTTGGAACTGCAGGAAGACTTCTGGATGAGAGGTGAAAATGTCTTCCAGAGCCTAGAGCAAATGCAGTTCTCTTCGACTTAACACCCTTGAGATACGTTTGTGGTGACAAAAAATTATTGGGTGAAGAAAGCTACAGCTTAAAGGCAGGACTAATTGCTAATTTTAAGTTACTTGCCCAACACCGATCGCTAGCAGGACTCAGCTGTCAATCATGATGTGAAACACCCTTCCAAATATTTAATTAAAAGCAAATGTATCTGAAAAATGCACACTTAAATATACACCAGCATAAGAAATACCTAAAATGACACCAACTTTGGGAAAAATGTGTCTGACTTGACTTGAAGAGGGGCAGGGTTTATGACTATACTGCAACCAGCCACCACAGCTCTTATGCTGTCCGTCTATGCATTCAATGGTCTGTGGTTGAGTTGGATTGTGGGTCATGTGGGCACCAGGTTTTGAGAAGAAATAAGAATGCCTGCATTAAAAATTACAATATCTGTGGTTCTGTTGCATCGATTTTGATACTTTAACTGCCTGTTGGGAGTCTGACAGAACAATGCTAAATTGGAGAACACCTTTAATAAGCTTCACTTCCATCAATTAAATGATTTCTGCCTGCAGCTCTGCCTCTGAAAAATGATTGAATTGATTGATTTTCATCAGAAAAAGATTGTACCTTTTGGTCTAATGTACCTAATATGTTCCTAAGTGCATCTAATGTAAAACTACTAAACTTTTTGAATCAAAGCAATCTCTCATTATCTGCCAATAGCTAATTAAAGATCACAAAGGTGCATTCTTGATTGCTATTTTAACATACGATTAGTATAAACCAAACTAAACCAAGCCTTTGCTTGTCTCTGCCTGCTTCCTCTTACTCCAGGCTGAGGCCATTTATCTCTGGGGTGGATTGTAACGCTTGGCCAAATTTATGGCCACATTTCCCAGGGCAGGGAGCCTTATGAGAAATTTGCCTTTTAGGCAAGTGTTAGAGATCCTTCTATGAGGAATGTAACACAGAGAGATATAGCAGTGTAAAGCTGTCACCACTCCCTGTTTGTTTTAAGACAAATTCCTTCACCTATAGAGCAGTAAGATCCAGTGATGGAGGTTTACGCTTGATCTTGAGGTATTCTTGTATTCAGATCAGTAGTGAAAATGTTAATCATGTGCTTCATGCTGAGTGGAGTCTGACTGTTGGGAGTAGAGTCCCCTCTACCATACAAAGCAGCTGGTTGTGTAAGAGCATGTCTGAGCAGTGACATGTTTTATTCAGAATGGCACTCCCAAATACACAAAAAATAGCTGAGGCTTTGAATATACAAGGCATTACCAAATGCCACCCCAGAGGAAGTCAGACGACAAATTGGCCATGTTAAGGAATAGAGTCTAATTTTGGTAGGCAAAGCCCTTTTTGACTTTCTCCATGGAATATCTTTCTGTGCAGGATTTAATACACTTTGATGTTAGGCGCTGATGACAGGCTGCCAGGCCAGAGGAAAACACAAGACAGAATTTAGTCTAAGGCCCTTGGGAAGCTGAGGGAAAAAAGTGGGCACTCACATCTGCTTCGATTTTGATGAGTGCAATGTCCATTTTCTGGTCCACGTCCTTGACTGTAGCGTCGTACTGCGAACCACTTTTCAGCTCTACTTTTACCCGCTGCTTGTTGGTGAGTACGTGAGCATTGGTGATGATCCAGCCGTCCTCTGACACAACAAACCCAGAGCCACTCGACACAGAGAGCTCCTCGTTGGAAAATGGCACTCTGGCAAGAGAAAGGGCAACAGGGAAGTGTTATTTTGTAGTTCTGAAAGTTCTTTTAAATTTCTTGTTTGGGTTCATTTTTACCTTTGGAAAAGCTCCAGATGCACCACAGCTGGGACAATCTTATCCACCACGTCGGCAATGAAGTTGAACTTGTAGCGCATACTTCCTGGATGCTGCACTCCTTTGAGGACACAGGAGAGGATAATAGATAGACAGGTTAGGAAAGACACTTTGGGTTGGAGGCTTGAAGACAGTTAATTGTTGAGTTTGAATGAGACTAAACAATCAAATATCTTTCTTGGCTCTGACGATGGATGAGCCAAAGCCAAAACCTACCTTTTCAGCAAAAGGGACTACCTAGTTTTCTCCGGTCATTGCGTCTTTCTACTGCATAGACAGCCCAGTTTTATAAAAAGGTCATCAACTTTCCAGTGCTAAAATATAAATAAATTGAACATTGTTCATTGTCAACACCTGTTCCCGGCCTCCCAATCAGCTACTCAACACACACATACCGGCCACTTTCCCTCTCTTCCCCACCAGATCATCTACTTTATATTATTCTGCCCCTTGTTTTGTCTGCCTGCCTTAAACATTTTGCATATTTGCATGATTGGACCGACCACCTGTTGATGAACTATTGACAAAATATAACCTGCCTGTCTGCAAGACTACACTACAGTCTTCACACTCACAGAGCAGCTAGCGTAGACTGATTAATTCAGTGTGGATATTCTTTTTCATACCTTTCAACCACTTTAAAACGTGTTAATGAGATGTGAACTGGCAAACATACTACAGGAAACAGTGAGGGGTTAATAGAGATTAATTTACCATTAATTCCTTAATGAGTAAATACTACACTGCATTTTCAAAGCACATGACTCACACTGTGCCTTGCTTCTCAGGCAAGTCGTAGCACATACCTGCTCTACTGAGCATTTTTGTAGTGCTTGATTACACTTCATCATACAAGCATAGACAAGCCACTTTTTTTAAGAGCAAAGGTCAGATTACAGTAAATGCTAATCTATCCATCTTGCCACCACTTAACTTCCACAGCTGCTATTTGATCTGATATCAAGAATTGAAGGCTTGAGTGCCAACCGGAAGTGGACGGTTTTACTCTGTGTCTAGATCATAAGCATCTCGTCACCTGACGGCGGCACTAAAGCGACTGTCATGCTGAGTCCATCTTGTCCTTGTCTGCACATTTCAACGGTGTCTGTGTGCAGTGTTCCTTTGATATGTGTGAGTATTCCTAATCTATTTTACCATCAGGATAAGGATAACGGCAATAAAGGAGAAAACAAGCCACAAGAAGCAATAAGATCAAAGAACAAGCTTAGATAATAACAAGAAAATAAAGATATTAGGATAAAAGTTTGATAATTAAAATAAAATAATGATAAAACCCTAAAATATATAGTAAATTGTAGTAAATTAGTAGTGAAAAGTAAAATGTAGATACAAATATTTATTCAGTGCCTTTTTATTGTGCATCAACCTCGTGTTACATGACAAAATTGACTTGAAGTGTAAATAAATGCTTCAGGTTGTGAGCCTGCAGACACATGGGGTAAACAGCTGCACTGATTAAGATGGGAGGTATCAGTTGCGTGAGACGTCTTATATGCTTGTGGTCTAAAGGGTAAGGCTTTTAACAAGTTGTGTTTCATTGAAAATGTAACCTGCTGTTTATACCTATGCTCGCTTCACCTGAGGGCAGTGAAATCTTTTCCCCGATAATATCTCCAACATTCCCCTCCCCTGGTCTCAAAGTCAACACAATCCCACCACATTCTCGCTTGATGCTGTGTTTACAGAGTTGCACAAATGAACTTGTCTCTGCAGAAACAGCCTTAAAATGCAAATGACTGAGTGTGTCTATTGCCAAGAGCTAGTGTGGCAGAACACCAACTATTTTGCCTGTCAGGAAGCTCTACTAACAAATCAACAGTATGCTCCCCGTTGGCAGGGAGATCCTGCAACTTTCACTGTCCTCTCAATTACACTGCACAGAAATGCCAGCTTGTGCGATTGTGGATCATCCATCCATCATGAAACCACTTAAACTTGACATGTCATCTTATCCGCCATCGAGCCTCCAAATTGTAAAACAAGTGGAAATCTGCTGATAGGACTCAATGCCGATGCCACACTAGATTCAATGTTTCCATCACAGATGTGTTATATCAAATGCTTTAAGTTTGCAATGGTATTCTCGCAGAGCACATTTGTTGTTGTGATATTTTGTTGAAAAATGTGGTGTCCTTAAAGGTACCCTGTGGAGTTTTTGGCCTCTAGTAGCGCTACAGTGAAATGTTTTTATGAGTGGCCCCCCATGTGGGCGGTGTGATGCTGCAGTCTGTTTAACACTGCTCCAACAGTGGAAAAGCGGTGGCGGGAAGCAACCAACAATGGATAAAAACAATGCAAGATTTAAAAAATTTTTTTAAATAGGGCTTTGAAAATATTAATGAGGAAGGAAATGCATTCCACACGTTTGTTAGACCTCAAAGATGCACACAATGTGTTTTTGTGAGTAATACTGACTGTAAAAATAACTTTTGCCCCCCCGTCCCTTCCACCTTCAGTGTGTCAGCAATTGGCAGAGGTGGAAGAGCATCGAGACTTTACAGCAGGCGTCTCAAAACGCAGTATTCTAAAAACATTTCCATTACTAACTAATGCAAAGGGAAGGGGGATGGAGGGCTGGAAATGGAAATGCTTTAAGAGGTGGCAGAAATACATACTTATGTAATTGCAAACTGTCACATATATCAGTATTTGATTGGAAAAGCCCCCAAATAAAGATATTTGAAGTCAAAAACATAACATTATTGTGGCACATTAGTAAGCAAGTACTTTTGGTAGTAAGTGGCATTAGAAACTAGTAAATAGTTTTATTTCCAAATCTTTAGACATTTTCTTTTTTTCATTGAATCACTGTTGCCACAACAGATCATTAAATTAAAATGTGTGAATTTCCATTTTTAACATGTTATCTTTAAAAGGGTCAGGCATTTTTGCCACCCTTCTAGATCTTCCCCTGGCCATTGGTACAGACATTCATGGTGCAATGAATCCTACTGACTTTGGTGATCCTCTGACTTTTCCTCTATTGCCACTAGCAGGTTAAGTTTTCATTTACCCTGTATTACTAGATGGATTGGGACATTTTTTTTCTCCCGTAGGAGGATGCTTACTGACATGACTTTTCCTCTGGCACCAACATGAGGTCAAAATGTTAATTCGTCCAATACTTTCCTTTATGACCGAATATGTGCAAAACCCATGACATTTCCATAAGCCTGAACTGTACTTTGTGTTTACTGCTAATCAGCAAATGTTAGCACACTAAAATGTAAGATGGTGAACATGGCAAACATTATATCTGCTAACATCTGCTACATCAGCACATTTACATTGTCATTGTGAGGATATTAGCATGCTGATGTTAGCATTTAGTTAAAAGCACCACAGTGATTAAATACAGCCTCATAGAGCTGCAGTCTTGTATACCAATGCTGAACGTGTCCATGGAAGTTGTCTGATTATAAACCATTTTCAATATTATAAATCTAATGTTATTTCATATATTTGTTCAAATTAGGGTGACACTGCTAAAGGGTAATAATGACTACATAAAGCCCAATTTCAGCACAGTAACAGTTGTGGACATTGACCAGTTCACTCTGAATACTAGAGGCGGTGCAACTTTTGCCAAAAGGGTGTTTCCAGATTGAAGTGTATGGGGAATACTGGTGTTTGAATAAATCCCATGCTCAATAACCTGCTATTTTTATACAACCATTATCTAAATTATTGTACTCTTATATACATATATAGATATATATTATATATAGTATAAAATACCAAGGAATCCCAAGTATTTTTTTTTTTT